AGTAGAGACGGGGTTTCACCATGTTGACCAGGATGGTCTCGATCTCTTGACCTCGTGATCCACCCGCCTCAGCCTCCCAAAGTGCTGGGATTACAGGCTTGAGCCACCGCGCCCGGCCTACAAAATACTCTTATAGAGCATCTGATTTCATGCCACCAACAACCGTACGAGGTGTTATCTCAATCGGTGACTGAGAGGGACTGATGCCTTGGCTAAAACTAAGGCAATAATGGAACTTAAACTCAGTCTTCTGACTCCGACCTCTGGGATTCTGCCACAAATCAGCAGCTGCCAAGGACTAAAACCAGAGGCAGAGGTAGAAAAATCAATACAAAGTAGGCAGGAATGGTACACTGTGTGGTTTAGAGTCATACATCCTCACACGTCTGTTAGTGTTAAGAAGGGCACCAGTACCTTTCCAACTTTTACATCAGTGTATCCTCATGGCAGAAGGCAGCTTTTCTCTTAAATCTGAGAATTTAACAGGAAGAGGACAACCCAAGCCTCATTTCAGAGCGACATCTGGTATACTCTTAGAAATCTATGTGACTCTCATCCCTAAGTCCATAATGTTTTGTCTCTCTCAAGAGAATCAAGGGACACTGATGCTTCAGAAAGATGCCCCATATTTACCCTGTGGCACCCAAATGACCCCAGGTTGAAATGAGATGAGGGAGATTCAAGCTGTCAAGTTCAGATTCCCAAGATCTGTTCCACAGAAGAGAAGCAGATCTCACTCCAGAAACCACTGACTGGAGGGCACCCTGGCCCCAGAGCCATGGGGAATTCAGACATGAGGTGGAGAACTCAGAAAAAATGTTAAAGTCTCTCTGGAGAATAGAAGCCTGGGAGAAAACCAAACCAAACCCATTCTCCCATCACCACTCAGAAGAGACACTGTCAACGTTTTGAGCTCACAGGGGAGGTGTAGGCTGTTCACACTGTCAACGTCTGTGTTAAAGGAGTAAGGCAGCCTGAAACCTCTCACTGCTAGGTCCCACGGTCCCCATTTCTCTTCCAGCTGAAAATCTCTGCTGCCACCAGAGGAACCAAAAACAGGGCAAGAACAGTTATGGGATTGGGTCCTATGATCAGGCCAGTCTAGTGGCAGTAATGACAGTTCCTGGGGGACTGTGACGTCACTACATTCTACTTCTCCGTGGGGTAGGGGGGACACATCATTGTGATGCCTGAGTTGCCACTTTGAGATGGGGTGGGGGGCACAGGGCCGGAACCCAGGTCCTTAGAGACACAAGCCCAAACAGCCCACAGAGCTCAGACTTAGGGTGACAGGAGGTGAGGGCTGAGTATGGAGCAAGAGCACCAGGAGTCGCCTGCCCAAAGTCATCCTGAGGCAACTGGTGAGAGCAGGCACTGGGGGACCCAGGTTCTTGGAGATGCCAGCCCAAAGAGCCCAGGGAGGCCAGGCTTGGGGCAGCAGGAGGCGAGGGTAGAGTACAGAGTGTTGAGCCCTGGGAGTCACCAGCTCAAAGTCGCCCTGGGGCAACTGGTGAGAGCAGGAGCAGGACCGCTAACTGTGGGGCTGGCTGACAAGATTT